TCCTTTGCCCACTTTTTGATAGGTTGTTTTCTTCATGCTGAGTTGTTTGAGTTCCTTGTAGATTCTGGATGTTAGTCCTTTGTCTGAAGCACAATTTGCAAACATTTTCTACCACTCGGGTTTTTTGTTCATTCTGTTGATTATTTCTTTTGCTGTACAGAGATTTTTAGTTTTATTAAGTCCTATTTGTCTGTTGGAGAGGATATAGTAAAAAGGGAACACTTCTACACTGTTGGTGGGAGTGTAAACTAGTACAGTCTTTGTGGAAAACAGTGTGGTGATTCCTAAAAGATCTAAAAATCAACCCTCCATACGATCCCGCAATCCTCCTACTGGGAATATACCTGGAAGAACTCAAATCACTCTATAAAAAAGATACCTGCACATGTATGTTTATCGCAACATTTTTCACAGTAGCAAGAACATGGAACCAACCGTGTCGCCCATCAAAGGAAGACTGGATTTTTTTAATGTGGTACATATACACAATGGAATATTATGCAGCCATCAAGAAGAACAAAATCATGAAATTTGCAGAAACCTGGATGGATTTAGAGTCTGTAATACTAAGTGATCTATCATAGAAACAAAGAACTGAGTATCACATGTTCTCACTCATGAGCAGACTTTGAACAATTATCATAGTACTATAGGAAAGGGATTGGGAAACTGCCAGGAGAGTCTATAATACTGAATAATCTATCACAGAAACAAAGAAATGAGTATCACATGTTCTCACTCATAAGTGGACTTTGAGCAATTATTGTAATACAATAAGAGAATGATTGGTGGTAGTGGGAAACTGTCGGGAAGGGGGCAGGGAAGTGGGGTTGGCAGTAGTGGAAGTCTGCCTGGGGAAGGGGGAGCACACCTCATCAACAAGGATACCTGCATAATGAACATTTGCATACCTAACCCTGAATTGCACTCCACATCTTTGAAATAAAAAACAATTGTGAAAATGTTGAACTCCAGTGGTACCTTCCTCTATGTTAAATTTCATGTCACATATGTGGGAAATCATTTATTTATTGAACTGACTATTTTGTCCATTTAAAGAATTAAATCCTGCCTCTTTAAATAAATTAAATAAAATAAACTTTTAAACAAAGGAGGAAGCTAGAAGGTAAGCAAGAGCTATTCGGGTAGAGTCCCCCAGTCCGTGACAAGGAGTCTGGATTTTATCTTTAGTATAATGGAAAGCCATTGTTTGGTGTTAAATGAAGTAGTGACGAGATATAACTTACCTTTTGGCTTCTGTGTGGGATATTAATTTGAGAAACCAGTCAGAATACTCATGTGAAAGTTTAGATGAAGACGACAGCGGCTTAAACTAGACAGAAAGAGAAGAATGGTTTTGATATGTACTTCAAAGGTAGAGCCATAGGACTTGCTGATGGATTGAATGGAGTGAGGTGAAGTGAAGAATCAAGGGTGACTTTTAGGTTTGGAGCAACTGGGTACATGTCACCATTTCCTGAGAAGGGAAATAACAATAACAAGGCTTGGTAAGGTGAGGTCCCCAACAGGAGCTCTTCTGGATATGCTAGGCATCCAAATGGAGATGACTTGGGTGGGGGGTGGGGGGAAGGGCAGAAATACCAGTCTAGAGGTTAGAGAAAGTCTAGAGTTGGAAGATTTTGAGTGTGATCAGCATATAGACTGTATAGAAAGTACCTAGTAGAAAAAAGCTGAGAGAGAAGAGCCTAGAAATAAGTCCTGGCATTTGGTAAGGAAAAGAAGAGCCAGGATGGAAAACTGAAAAAGAATCAGGATGGAAGACTGAAAAACAATGGCCTAGGCAATCAGAGGAAAACCAGGAGAGTCTAGTAACTTAGAAGGAAAAGAGAGCATTTCAATAAAGAAGTCATTGTCCCTACATCTAATGCTTGCTCAGAGGTCAATAAGAACAAAATAGTGGTACCTCCATTGGTTTTGGCAATGTTAGGGATAGCTAGTGATCATCACTAAAGAAGTTTCAACGTCAGGGTCAAAGCCAAATTTAGTTAAATTGAAAAGTGAATTAGAAATTTTAAAAATGGATAAAGTGATGGCATATAACATTTTGAGAAGTTTTCTTTTTTAAGAGTTGATAAAGGAATGTGGCATTGCCCAGAGAGGAATGTGGGATTAAGGAATTATTTTTCAAGATGGGAGGTAGTAGAGTGTCTTTGTGTGATAGAAATGGCCTGGCAGAGAGGGGAAAGAATGAAGAAAATAATTAAAGATGAAGTACCTGAATAAGGGAGGATCCTAACTTTTTACTTGTCTATATGCAACATGGACAAGTAAAGGGGTTAGTCTCTCAGGAGTAGAAATAATGATTCTATTATAAACAAAAGGAAGATAGAAGTTGTGGAACCAGATGCAAAACTGCGTGGACTTACTAGAGAGAAAATGAAGAAGTTGTTTCTGATGATTTCTGTTTTCTCAAAACATGAGGCAATGAGTGATATTTTAGAGAGAAGGAGTAATGGAAGATTGAGGAGAAAGGACAATTTACAGAATAGTCATTTCAAAAAATGATAACTCAAGCTTTTTAGGGGGAAACAGGAGAGTTGCTGGATAGTGTTTGAGTGATATTTAAAGTTTGAGTCTCTGAATTTCTTGTGAAATCAGTGAGGCTAGTAGGATAATTTTTTCCAAGAATAATCGACTGCTAACATATATATAAAGAAAAGGCAGACAGGTGGTTGTATTCTGCCATGGTTGGGAATTTGATGTTGATACCATGCAGAGTAGAACAAGGAAGCTGAGAGTGTCTGCAAGAAAAATGTTACAGGGGAAGATTGTGATATCCAAGCTGAGCATGAAGGGACATTGAGTCAGGAGGGTGAGATCACTAGCGAAAAAATGGTAGAGTCCAGCACTTTATTTCAACTTTAAGAGTTATTAACAGCCGGGCTCGGTGGCTCAGCCTGTAATCCCGCGCCTTTGGGAGGCTGAGGTGAGTGGATTGCCTGAGCCCGCGGGTTCGAGACCCGCCTGGGCAGCGAGACCTCATCTCTACAATAAATCAAAAAATCAGCTGGGCGTGGTAGCACATGCCTGTAATTCTGGCTACTTGGAAGGCTGAGGCGGAAGGATCGCTGAAGCCCAGCAGGTCGAGGCTGCGGTGGCCGGGAGCGGCCACTGCACTCCAGTCTGGGCGACAGTGAGACTCCAACTCAAAAAAAA